TTCCTGTGGCAGTTACCTATTCCTCTGAGCGGTTGACAGAGATTTACATTCGTGAGATCGCCCGTCTTCACGGTGTACCCATGTCTATTATTTCTGATCGAGGTACGCAGTTTACCTCGCACTTTTGGAGGGCAGTTCAGCATGAGCTGGGTACGCGGGTTGAGTTGAGCACAACATTTCATCCTTAGACGGATGGGCAATCCGAGCATACTATTTAGATCTTAGAGGATATGCTCCGCGCTTGCGTTATAGACTTCAAGGGATCGTGGGATCAGTTCTTTCCCCTTGCAGAGTTCGCCTACAACAACAGCTACCAGTCGAGCATTCAAATGGCTCCCTATGAGGCATTATATGGTAGACGGTGCCGGTCGCCAGTTGGGTGGTTCGAGCCGGGAGAGGCTCGGTTGTTGGGCACAGACTTAGTACAGGATTCCTTGGATAAGGTCAAGATTATTCAAGATCGACTTCGTACAGCTCAGTCCAGGCAGAAGAGTTTTGCCGACCGTAGAGTTCGTGATGTTGTATTCATAGTCGGAGAGAGAGTGTTACTTCGGGTATCACCCATGAAGGGTGTAATGAGGTTCGGGAAGACGGGCAAGTTGAGCCCTAGGTATATTGGACCTTTTGAGATTCTGGAGAGAGTGGGAGATGTGGCTTACAGGCTTGCGTTGCCACCTAGTTTAGCAGCTCTTCATCCGGTATTCCATGTGTTCATGCTTCGAAAGTATCACGGCGATCTATCCCATGTGTTAGATTTCAGCTCTGTCCAGTTGGACAAGGATTTGACTTACGAGGAGGAGCCGATGGCAATTCTAGCACGGCAAGTTCGCCAGTTGAGATCAAAGAGTTACCCTTCAGTTCGAGTGCAGTGGAGAGGTCAGCCTATTGAGGCAGCTACTTGGGAGTCCGAGTCCGATATGCGGAGTAGATATCTCCACCTTTTCACCAGCCCAGGTACTTTTCTATGTCCTTTCGAGGATGAACATTTATTTTAGAGGTAGAGAATGTGATGACCCAAAAGGTCATCTTATGTTTTAGAACTCGAATCTGCGCTGTTAAGCCTTAAAATCTCATTTTTACCCTCCTCAATTTACGTGTGCAGTCCGGGCATATTTTCGGAAAGCTTTTATGTTGTAAACTAAATAAAAATAAGAATTTTTTCCTTAAAAGTTGATTTTAGTTGACATTGGTCAATATTTTTGGTAAACGGACCCGGATCCGTATTTTGACTGTCCTGGTAGGTTTGTATCGAATTATGGGACCTCGACGTATGCCCGGAATCGAATTCGGAGATCCCTAGCTTGAGTTATGAATTTTTGATGAAAATTAAAAGTCTGAAAATTAATTATTTTTAAGAATTGATTGATGTTTGGCATTGTTAGTATCGGGTCCGTATTTTAGTTTCGAATCCCGTTACAAATTTATTATGATATTTAAGATTTGTCTGTGAAATTTGGTGAGAAACGAAGTTGATTTGACGTGATTCGGACGTCCAGTTGAGAAGATAGGAATTTTAAAGTGTTCTTGAGAATTTCATTTGATTTGGTGCAAAAATCGAAGTTCTAGGTGTTATTTTGGCGATTCGATCGCGCGAGCGGGTCCGTATGATATTTTTAGACTTGTGTGCATGTTTGATTTGGAGCCCCGAGGTCTCGGGTGAATTTCGGATAGGCCACGAGATATTTAGGACTTGGGAAAAATCTGGTTTTCTACAGATTCTGGTGTCTGGCATATCCTTCTTCGCGTTCGCGAAGGTCCTCTCGCGAACGCGAAGAGTAAACTGATAAGGCTGAGACTTCTTCTTCGCGAACGTGAAGGCCTGGTCGCGAACACGACTGGCTCAACGCGAACGCGAAGCATTTGGGACCTAGGGGGTTGGTTGTTCCTTCATCGCGAACGCGAGCAATGTCTCGCGAACGCGAAGGCCAGAGGGGGAGTAACCATCGCGAACGTGAGCTGGGTCTCACGAACGCAAAGGCTTGGCAGCTAGTACCCTTCGCGAATGCGACAGTGGCCTCGCGAAAGCGATGCACGCTGTCGCCCAGTGCATAAAACAGAATCAAACACGGGTTTAAACTATTTCTTCAATATTTTTGAAGAACCAAACGGGTAGAGGTAATTTTCAAGAGTCATTTTCTTCCCCAAAGTATTGATAAGTAATTCTAAACCATTTTTCTTCAATTACCCATTACATTTCTTGAATTATCAACCTAAAATCTAGAGTTTTCATGGTAGAATTAGGGGTTAGGGTAGAAACTAGGAATTTCGGAAATTTGGGGAATTAGACATCAATTTGAGGTCGGATTCGAAAACCAATTATATATTCGGGCTCGGGGATGAATGGGTAAATAGATTTTGGTCCGAACCTCAAGTTTCGACCAAGCGGGCCCGAGGTCTATTTTTTGACTTTTGGAGGAAAATTTGGGAAATTTAATTTATGCAATACAATTGATTCCTTTAGCAATATCTGATATTATTGAGTCATTTTTGAATAGATACGAGTGATTTGGAGGTGAATTCTAAAGGAAAAGCTATGATTGAGAATTAAGTGGCCTTCGAAGTGAGGTAAGTGTCGTGTCTAACTTTAGTTTGAGGGAATGGGTATTATGTGTTCATTTGCTACGTGTTTGGTTGTTAAATACGATGCATAGGTAAGGTGACGAGCATCTATGCATCGTTTTCGAGTCATAGCATGCGAGTGAAATTCTATTCTCGTCTATTTTGTAGCCTTAAATTCTACTATCCATATTTAGCGGGGTTATTTGAAATGTTGGGTGACTTATATTTGGTTTCACTGAGATTTGGTAACTTTCGAATATTGATTCAAGGTTGAGGTTATATTGTGCTATTGATTATGTGTAAAATATTAGTTTCTTTGTGATATTCCTGTCTATCCGTTGTTATTGATTCCGTGATTGGTGAGGAGGAGTGTAAAGTACGAAGGGTGATGCCGTGCATGCATTATTTATATTTTGAGGAAGAGTGTAAAGCACGAAGGGAGATGCCGTGTATATTATGAGAGGTTTAATGCACGAAGGGTGATGCCATGCCGTTCTATTTATTTATTTGGTGAGGTTGAGAGTAAAAGCACGAAGGGCGATGCCGTGTCGTTCTATTTATTTATTTGGTGAGGTTGAGACTAAAAACACGAAGGGTGATGCCGTGCAGTTTTCCCTTGCTGTTTTAATTGCTCAATTCATTTAAGGATTTTTGGTTAAATTCTGTCTTTTCATTATTCTCACTCTTTATGTTGTATTCCCCCACTGTATGTCCCATTCCCATTATTTATGCGTTATTTCTTTATTTACTATTGTTGTCACTAGTATGATTATACTGTTCACGTTATATGTGGGTGTTTTATCCTAGCCTCATCACTACTTCGCTGAGGTTAGACTCGATACTTACCAGTACATGGGGTCGGTTGTATTGATACTGCACTCTACACTTTCTGTGCAAATTTTGGTACCGGCTCAGGTTAAACGAGATTTTGCGATTGGTCCGCTGTCCGGAGACTCAAGGTAGATCTGTCGGCGTTCACAAAACTTGAAGTCCCCGTCTATCTTTTATGTCCTATTGTTTTCTTTCATTCAGACAGTTGTATTTCTTTCAGACTATTACTTGTAGTAAATCCTAGAATGCTCGTGAATTGTGACTCCAGATCCGGGTGGTAGTAATTAATACAGTTTTATAATATTCCGCACTTATTATATTTCATCTTAGTTAATTATTGTTATTTACTGAATAGAAATAAGGAACTCGTTTAATGATTCTCTAACGTTGGCTTGCCTAGCAAGTGAAATGTTAGGCGCCGTCACAGTCCCGTCGGTGAAAAATTTCGGGTCGTGACACCTTAACACTTCGTGCTCATGAGAAAAATTAGAGTTAAAAATACTCACATATTTTTAAAAAGAAATTGACAAAATAAATTGAAATTTGACATGTTTGATGATATTCTTACGTGGTTCGGTCTACAAAGAATTAAAAAGAAGACAAACTTTGAAATAACGTTTTCATTATAGTTACACAATTTAAATAAGAAAATAATTATATATGTAAAATCTTACTCAATTTTAGATTCCTAAATATTAGGAGTTTCCTCATTGTTCAAATAAGGAAGAATTTAATAAATAAAGTTTAGTAGATTTTAAAGTCCTAAGTATTAGAAAAATAAGTAAATTACAATTACAAGTTTGTCCAATGTGAAACCTATTTTTAAAGGGTAAAAAAGGAGAACAAATATTTTGTTAAGGGCCTTCGTACTTTTAATATAATATAGATAAACCGAAAAAATACCGAACCGTACCGAATAAATTTATATGTGAAAAATATATTTATATATTAAGTTTAAAAATAATAAAGCATTAAATTTTTTCTTGAGCCATGAAATTATAAAAATGGTTATAAGCCAATAAGTAATTAAAATCAAAATCATAATTCCCAAACATATTATGCTGCTCCTACTGAAACTAAATTATTTTCAGCATATTTACTAGCAAGATAAAGTATTCTAACGATTATGAGTAGCAAACTACAATGTATTGAATTGAATATGTTTCCTTTCGTCTGATTTAGATTTATGAATATTTAATCTTCTATAAACTTTATTATTGAGTCTCAGCTTGGTTAATATCTTTCTACTCGTGTGATTTATATTTTCTTTATCTTTGCTAGTTTCATTTATACTGCTGTAAAGTAGTGGATGGATCTATACTCTAACCATCTTTTATGTTTCTTAATTGATCACCATTTAAACAGTAAAACTGTCTAGTAAATTTTCCTAAGACCTATAAATGTATATATATTATTGCATTCTACTTTCACTAATGACTTTTACATGATATTAAAAAAATATTGAAAATTAATATCATGAACTGAACCGTACCGATAGCGAAGAGAAATCGACATCGTTGGGGCGATTTCGAAAAGTTTAATTTTCGTTATACATAACAGAATAATCGAAAAATTAATAATATATAAATTTTATAAAATAAGCACGCCAACCAAACGATTGATAACCTACCTCTAGCTGAATGAAAACCCAAGAGCTCAAAGACGGCCGGAACGCCCATGCAACAAAGATAGCTCTAACAGCAATATCGGCGATGGCGGGGGAAACAGCAACTTTCCCGATTGACCTCATAAAGACGAGGCTTCAACTCCACGGTGAATCTCTCGCCTCATCTCGCCGGACATCCGCCGTTCGAGTAGTATCAGAGATCTTAAAAAACGACGGCGCTTTTGGACTATACAAAGGATTATCACCGGCAATTATAAGACATCTATTTTACACTCCAATCCGAATCGTGAATTATGAATTTTTGCGGAATTTTTTGGTTCCTGCTGATCATACTCTCTCTCTCCCTAGCAAATCTATTATTGGTGGAATATCTGGTGTTATTGCTCAGGTAAATAATAAATTGAAATATCATTGATTTTTGAATTATATTGTTGTATTGAGCTAAATGAATTGAAATATCGTGTTAACTTGGTCTGATTTACTACTGTTCTTCCGTATTTGAATGATTATTATGCTGAATTTAATAAAAAGAAAGTTCGAAATGTTGAAAGATAATTGAGAAGATGTCACATGAAATCTGAAATAATAGTATAAAGCACTAATTTGTTTCATTTTATATTGTCGGAATTTGACTAGACGTGGAGGAAACTTTTTAAAATGATTTATGTATTATATTAGTAGTAGTGGCAGAACGTGTAATAAAAAGTGGCTGGAAAATGTAGTTTGATAAGGAAAACATTATTCAAGGTTTAAACTTTAAATAGTTAAACGAATTTGAATAAGTGAAAAGTTATCAAAGTTTGTATCAGAAAATCATTAGTGGACTAATGTCAAATATTTTGACATTCTAAGATGGAAAAAGGAGTTAAATATTTTGAAACAGAGTGGTTTTATATATGTTAAATTTGAATGATTAGATAGAAGAAGTTTGGGAGGTGGGGGTGGGAGTATGTGGTTGTGCTTTCCTGTATTTGGATTGATGAACTTCTCTATTACAGTGTGTATAAAGATATTGCAGTTTATGTTCTAAAGGATTGACTACTTTTTGTTAGAAGGTGAAAGTATTATGTTTAGTTGGTAAGAGTTCGAGTACAAATGGTTAAGATGGAGTGACATTCTTTCAGGAAATTGTCTTTCAGTGAAATTCTTTTTCTTCACCATTTTCCTATGTTGAGTTGGGAGCTTATTGATGATAGTAGTGGGTAGCTGATAGTATTGAAGGAAGGTGGTGGCAGCAATTGTGGTTCTGGGTGCCGATAAAATTTGTGGCAGGTCGGATGCGATGGTGACTGCAGTATTCATTAGTGTGGTCGTTAGAGTTGGATGGATGACTAATGCATTGAGTGATCGGAGTTCATATCCCTTTAATGTTGCAAAATTCTTTCACTTAGAGAAGATTTTTCATGACTTAAAACATTAAAAAAGACAATTAGAAAATTCCTCTGGAGAAGATTTTTTAATCAGAATGCTTCCAGTGTATTTCTAGTCCTACCAAATAGATTTTAAATGATTTTTTGCTGGTCTGCACCTATTGGATTTGGATACCTATCTAGTTAAAAGATTCAGTGCAATAGAGCCTTGCCTTGGTGCTTGATGGAGAAATGGCTTCAAGGTGGTTGCAACAATACTAGTTAGAGTAAAATACAAGGGATTCAAACCAATCATCTATGCTTCAATGGCGAATTAGTTGGGTTAGCTATATGAATCCTCTGTAGCCATAATACTAACTAATTCTTCTTTTAAGAAAATTAGGAGTTTCTCATGCCAGAGGTACTCGAAATATAACATCTGTACCTACATGGATTCCATGACTAAACAAATTAGAAAGACTCTTTCCAACAACTAAGTCTTAACCTTTACCAGTCGGTATTGCCTGTAAGTAATTGCTTCTATTCTGGTATGTTCTTAGCGATGTACTAAGTTGCTCGAACACGGGTGCGGACGTTTGACACGGGTGTGGATCTAGAGGTCGGATCCTTCGAGATGTAAATTCTAGGATTCGGGGATACGGATCCTAGTACGGATACGGGTGCGGGGATCCGGCTAAAAATAATTCAAAAATATAAAAATATCTCTAAATTATGAGAAATTTTGTAGAATACTTACGTTAGCTTGTAAAGTGTGGATTTCTTTTTTATTCTCAAGTTGTAGATAAGTAAATGATTGATTTAATAGATAAGGTATGTTATTTTCTTCAAATTTACCCTAGTTTTGGTTCTGATTTTGGGAATCAAATTATATCTCGTCTCGAATTTTTCCGTCCGTCGTGGTCAAAGTAACAAAAATTGTTTAACAAGATCCGGTACGGATCCCATACTCACACCCATACTAGTGTCATGTCGACATGGGTGCGACACCTAAATTGCCATGTCGGGGCAACTTAGGCGATGTATACATGAATTCCGAAAATGTAAATGTTTATTAATAACTTTTTTTCTATAAGCGGTCAATGGTCATCTTCTGGTTTATAGAGCGGATTGCCCTATTTGTAGTTACCCCCCCCTCCCCCCCGTCGGGGGGTGGGGTCTTTAGCTTACTTTAGACAAAGAGTAGCCCCTCAAAGAGGTATAAGAAATTAAATCAGATCCTCTTTCGCACTAAAAATGCAGAAGATGGACAAGTGTTTCTTTTCGATGGATTCATCACTATCTGAATTGAGTTGAGCAATTTATATACACACTTTGGGGAAGAGGAATCTCTCTATTGGATTGTTGATTACTTTGTCAGTTCTTTGTTTTCTTGGTGGTACCTGAAACTTTGGAGTAAATAGATGAAGGTCTTTTTGATTAATTTGTTCATTTTGAGAAACAGTCAGCTGTCTTATACATTCTTTGGAACAGTTTCCTTTTGTTTGAAATTTTATTTACAATGCCTAGAGATAGATGTTGGTAGGTGCCCTTCGAAGGGCTTATGAAGCTTGTATTTGTTGATGTCTGTTGAATTTATCACTCTATTAATTTTATAGAAACGAGTTACTTTTATCTCTCCACCAAAGATGGTATCATGACAAACCCTTTTCTTCTCATCTTTAATTTAGTTATCTTTAACTAGATTTCACATGACATTATCTTATTTACATTTTTCATCTCTGTTATCCTATAGCTTTGTGCATGTTGGGAAGAATGTGAAGTATGATCAGCTAATGCTAAGTTGNCCCACAACAACACACACAAAAAAAAAGGAGAAAAGAAAAGAAGTGAAGTATGATACACTATGGAAAAACTTTTTAGTTTACTGGCTTATTGTGCTTAAGCTTTCAATTCCCTTCGGCAGCATTCATTGTGGAACATGTCATAGTTGCTTGTCTTCTTGTGATTCAGGTTGTGGCAAGCCCAGCTGATCTTGTCAAAGTTAGGATGCAAGCAGACAGTAGAATGGTAGGTCAGGGTATGGAACCTCGATATCGTGGGCCATTTGATGCTTTCAACAAGATTATTCGGACTGAAGGCTTTGGGGGACTTTGGAAAGGCGTACTCCCAAATGTCCAAAGAGCTTTTTTAGTTAACATGGGAGAATTGGCATGCTATGATCATGCAAAGCGCTTTGCTATCAACAACAACATAGCGAATGATAATATTTATGCACACACTTTATCATCTATAATGTCAGGCCTGTCAGCGACTACATTGAGTTGTCCGGCAGATGTAATTAAGACAAGAATGATGAATCAGGCTGCTGACAAGCAAGGGAAGAATAAGTATAGAAACTCTTATGATTGCCTTGTCAAAACTGTCAGAATTGAAGGAGTCAAAGCATTGTGGAAGGGATTCTTTCCTACATGGGCCAGGCTTGGCCCTTGGCAATTTGTATTCTGGGTATCATATGAGAAATTCCGACAAATTGCTGGTCTCTCGTCATTTTAACCAATTCATCATGCTGTGCATTATAAAACAGTGGAGCAAAGGTTAGGTTTTCATGTTTTTATTTTTTGGACTGATCTTGAGTTATTTATGTTATATCATGGTGAGCGTTTTGAGAAGCCCAGTATGCTTCTTTACTCCCTTTTGCAAGAAAACTGGGGAGACAGAGTTCTCTACTTGGACTCATTAAGTATTGGCTAAGCACTCGCCAGTTTTCTCTACTTGAGTATTTTAAACTGTTTTGCTCTCCGTTCTTCATCCAAATGTCAGCTGGTAGATCTGCAAATATGGCTTCGCAGTGCCAGGAAAACTAGGTATTTCTCATATTTGTGGGGTTTCAGAAAAAACCAATTGGCAATATCAATATGAAGAAGACATCACTATTCTTGTTCTTAAACTGAGCCGGAGAGCGATCTGTTGGAACAAGCAATACATGTGTCAGTTGGGTGTTAAACTTGTAGCTTGAGCCATTATTTCTCAACTTATGAAATAAAACTAAGAAAACACTAATACTAAGAAAAATAGCAATTGAGACAACTTTTTTTTCTTTTTCCAGTATTCACAAGATTAACCGAATGCACCTAATAATAGTCATACATTGGTGAACACCAAAGGATGCCACCATCGCTAATGTTCTTTGTACGGCTGAAGTAGTAGATTCTAGTTTTATAGAACACCATAAAATAGATGCACCTCCACATATAATAATAACTGGTATGCTGATACTGAAAATATATGTCATGTTTTAGATGTACATTCTTAGCATGATTGTTTGACTCTTGGGTATAATCAGTATATAAAACGTTGTTTTATGTTTTTTGTAGCATTGAAGCTGAAAAGGCAATCAAAACTCAACCGAATGGTCAAAAGATGCTGAAGTTCTGCAGGCGGAACAGGACATGCTCCTAGTTCGCACATAACTGATCCGAGAGCTCATCGAACGTCAAGTATATATGAAGATTCCACTGTCGCAGGTGCCCAAGACAAGTTCTCTACCGTATGCAAATTAAAGTTCAGAGCCGAAAAGTTGGACCATTGCTACCGCAAGCGGAGAAGTCTAGTTCCAACCGTGCACACAAAAAACATCAGAGAGGTGCAAAATAACGGTAAATAGTTAATTAAATTATAGAAGATAAACTAAGGTCTTCTAGGAATTTTTCTTTTTAATAAATAAATAAATTTTAAAAGAGACTAGTCGAATTATATAATAACTAACGTTACATGCCGCCATTTTCTTTGTTTTATTTCCCCGCGATCTTCCTCTTTGCATGCTTGCTGCATCTTGTATTAATATGTACTGAAGTGACTTTAGAGATTCATAGTCCTCATCCTCCCCCTAACTTAATCTAAGTTCTAATCCCGTTTCTTTGTGAAATAATTGGGCAAAATCTTGTCTTCTTCAATAATTATAGGAATAAATACAAGACTGCGAAAACCATAAACTTGAAAGTTCTTAATCCATAGAAATAGAGCTCTTATTGATATTGGCTAGCCATTATTACACATAAAACACCATTTGACTGGCCACTGTAAGGTCAACAATATATTCGTTTAATTTAATTTACTTTAGCTAATTGTTTAAGTTCGGTGGGAAAAAGAAATAAAAAAGAGATGATCAATTTAAGTGTTTATGCAAATAATTTTATATCGTTTTACTACTCTAGAATTTCAAAAGCATTGCCCAGTTAAAGAACAAAGACACACCATCGAAATAGCTAACTAGATTATTAGGTATATTTAATTATTATTTTAGATTATGTGCAAAACTAATGAAAGTTAACTATGATTATCCACTAATAGTAGTAGTTAGATTAAGTGACAAGTGTTATTTAGTTATTGGATTGGTGTAAACACCCGGTGCGGGTAAATTTTTACCAACCAGTAGGGGCGAATCTAATTAATTTGTTTGTTATGAGATCACGTAAATTTAATAGTTTTTGTTCAGATCGTATATAAATATTTGACAGTAAATTTAATTATTATAATATTAATTTAAAATAACTGTAAAAACCCATAAACTGAAAACTGGTACTTATTTTTGATAGGATATCCCACGATGTCGTCAGATCGTCCTAATCCTATTTATGAATCTTAAAAATTTACTACTACTTAAAAGGAAGAATAAGCACACACCAGATCAACATATTACGCACCTGCTTGGCTGCTTGGCATTGTGAGGGTATTCTGGTCATTTGGTCTTACTACTATGCATTCTTTGCTTGTTCTCTTCGCTTTAGTGCTTTGCTGTAGGCTTAGAATGACGAAAAAAGTCTTTGCTCTAATGCGAAACGTGTCAACCTTCTGTACCATGGGCCCAGGATGATTTTATTGTAATTACATTAAAAGCGAGCAATTTCATTGGCTAAAAAGGAACTTTACTGTAGCTCCAACAGAAATTTTTGGTTGTCCTGACTTATTTACCCACTAGATGAGCCAACACTTGATTACAAAAATAATTTTCTTAATTGTATTACTCCAATTATTTCGTAAAGATCATTCATGTTAATTTAAATAATATCTTTAAAGATAGAAATTTCATATGTATCTTTATTCAATAAAAATTATTGTGTTTCTGAGTTAACTATCTGATGTTAAACTTATTTTGTTGGAATTTAACATCAAGGAAAAAAAATAAAATGGTACCAATATTTCATCAACTTTTTTTTTCTCTGTGTTTGTGTGTTGTTTTTTCCTCGTATTCTAATTTGAAATTTACAATATATTTTTTTTTTAGTAAAATAATAAGTAGGCTTATTGGTAGCATAATAATTCAAAGGCAACACATTTTGGTAATTTTCGGGCGTGTTAAATTTAAGAAAAAAAGTCCCTAATTTATTTAAACCTCGTTAACTTGTGGATAACCAAAGAGTTTGCATTTTTATTCGTCGATAATTTACTTGTTAATAGTATTAAATAAGATGAGATATCTTCTTTTAACATAAGAAAAAATATGTTATACATTAGAGGTGGACCTCGATATATACAAACAAATATTTGTAAAGGAGTATCAACTCTACTATTTCTTTTTATAGACTTTTCTCATTAAGTTCTTGAATTAAATATAATTGATTGAACAATTACACCTTGAAATATTTAGTTAGCATTCCAAATAATCAAGAAAATTCAAATGGTGAAATTAATGCTGCGAGCACCTAATTTTTGATCATTTTTAATCTTTTTACTATCTTTTAGTATGTAAATATATTAAAATTTAATCTCGATATTTTAACTTTTTTGTTACCTTTTATAGGTTTTACTTAAAAAAAATAAATTAAAATGACAAAAAATACGTCCTCTTTTAATTTTAGAAAGATTAGTGGTTTTGCAAGTGTTCCGTAGTAGTATTTGTAATTTTTTTTTAATCTAAAAGATAGTTTAGCTAATGTTTTTATCTTTGTAATTCTCTTTATTTGTCTTCAAAAAGGAAAGAAATTGAAAAATGAAACAAAAAACAATAGCCAATCAGAAATGGTAAGTGATAAAGATTCTTTTTTGTAACAAACTTTACACCTGCCCTCCCGTTTTGGATTCATATATAGGCATAATAGGAATTTTCTTTGGATTTTTTCACACACCTGATCACGTTTGGGAGACTGCTTCTTTTCCTTTTATTTTTTTGCGATTTCTTTTTTATCCTAATTTGCGCGCGCACACACTATATATTTGTTTTATCCTAGAGCTCTAGGTCCAAAGCTGCGCAGCCAGCAACTTTCTAAGAGAGAATAGAGGAGAATTGAGTCTTCCTCTTAAAAAACCAGCACTTTGTAGCCATTAAAAAGCTTTTTCTTCCACCGTAGAACCAGCTCAACCAAGCCCTTTTATCATGAAAGCACCTTAGCCATACCATAGGTTCACCGTCGAGCACCCCAGTACGTCCCATCTTATTTTTCAGCTTCAAAAACACCTCAAAACATCACTGTAACACCACCAAATCGACACCACTAAACCACCCCAAAACCAACAATCGTTGGGCCATGAAAACCATCCAAAAATCAGTGGATCCAGGATTTCAAGAGGATGAGTGCACTATTATGAAGAGATGGATCTAGAATCTACATTTGACGAGTTTAACTTTAGTCTCTTACCATGAACTACTACACTTTTGAAATTATAGGTTCAAAATTATTATTTTTTAAAATTTTAGTAATTTTCATGTCACGCCCCAACCTCGGGAAGCGCGACTGGCGCTCAACCGAATGAACCCGGTCGAGCAAGCCTGTTAGATACTTTCTACTCAACTCACCCATGATCAAGAAAAGACTGATTTCATTAATTAGACAGTAGGAAGTTCATACATGCAATACTAAATCGTTTCATTAGCTATTTCGCTTAAGTCTCAAAATACACATATTCTTATGGTCTGAGTGGAACAAGTGATCAAACACAACATAACTTGTTTAACATTCCCAACACCCATATACAACCCACATAGTGTCTACGGAGCCTCTAAAAGATACAAAAGAGTCTTTGATAGTGCCGGCAACAAGACCCCGACTATACCTTGAGACGTGATAATAATATGATCAAAAGATACAATACGTGACCCCGGGATGAAGTGGAGCTCACCAAGTCTGCTGGGAAGAGGATGTGCCACTAAAGTTGATCAACACTGCCTGCTATGTAACTACCTGCATCCATTTAAAGATGCAGCGCCCCCGACAAAAGGGATGTTAGTACTGTGAGCACCTAATTTTTGACTATATTTGAATTTTTATCACCTTCTACTATGTAAATATTTTCAGAAATTTAATATATATTTTTTAGCTTTGTTACACTTATATTTTTTAGCTTTGTTACTGTTATATATATATATATATGGTAAAAATTAATAATAATTTAAAAAGTCAATTATTACTATTATTATTATTTTTATTTTTATTTTTATCTTTATTTTTAAATAAAATGAATTAAAAAACCAAAAATAAATAAAAATTAATTTTAAAAAATAAATAAATTTCGGTTTGGAATTAAAAAATAGGAAAAGTAGAAATATAAAATTAAAAAGTAGGTGGAAATTGTTTAATAAAAAAAGTAAAAGAAAGTGGAAAATTAAAAAAAATAAAAGTAAAAGAATGTGAAAATTTAAAAAAATGAAAAGTAAAAGAAAGTTAGAATTAAAAAATAAAAATAAGGGTAGCTGAAAATAAAAAAAAAAAAGAAGTAAAATTAAGTGAAAATTAAAAAAAGAAAAGTAAAATAAGTGAGAAAAAAAAGAAAAAAAGTATAAAAGTGGGAATTTAATATAATAAAAGTAAAAAAAGTAAGAAATTAAAAAATAAAAGTAAATGAAAGTGGGAAATTATTTTTTTTTAAAAATAAGAAAAATGGGAAGTGGGAATTCTTTTTAATTAAAAAATAATAAAATAAAAAAACTGAAAAAATTCCGAATATTTTTCTATAAATTGACGAGAAATGTGAGGAGAAAGAAAGGGGAAGAGAGAGAAAAAAATAGGGAGGAAGGAATTGAGAAAAATTTATTTTTTCTTCTANAGGTTTCGTGGCCGGTGAAAGCTCCAGTCAACACTCGTCGATTTGTTTAGCGCTCTTGTAATTTTAACTCTATTAATTTATATCAAAGGTCCGTTATTTTCCTTTCTTCACTGATTATAATTGTCCATTTACCTT